AGAACAGAGTGAATTTGGAATTTAGGAAGCAGAGTTGGCAAATTTGGTGATTAATCTGATCTGATGAAGAGGAAAGGAAAAAAGGAGGGAATTAATTCACACAATGGTTCTGAATAGAAAAACAGAGCTGGAGTGAGATTGTTAGTTAGGTTTAGAACATGCCATGTGTTTTAGCCCATTTGGGTTGGTTACTTTAACAGAATACCAAACACGGGGGCTTGTAAACAGCAGAAATTTTTGCTCTGAAGGCTGGAATTCTAGGATTATGGTGCCAGCATGGTCAAGTGAGGGTCCCCTTCTGGGTCACAGACTTTTCCTTATATACTTATACAGGGAAAGAGACTAGGTTGCTTTCTAAAGCCTTTTTCATAAGTCACTAATCCAATTCATGAGAGCTCCAACCTGTGACATAATCACCTCCCAAAGGCCTCACCGAGACTCAAACATTCAGATGACAACTGTGTTTTAGATATCTATATTAAATAATTCTATAAAAGTAACAACAAAAAATAAGCTCTATATATGTAGCAAGCATTTTTCGTATATCCTCAACAACTAGTATTGAATCAAGCAGAAAACAATCATACACACACTATTTATGGAGTGTATAATATTTGGTTGTGAAAGAAATAATGTACTATAAATTTCTAACAAATAATGGATGTTCCCAAAGAATAATCTAGAAAAAATGAAGTAACTTGATAAAACAGGAGGAAAGTCCTCGACTAAAACAAAACCTAAGTTTTGTATTGCAAAAGAAAAAAATGTTTATATTGCAAAGCCATTTGCCAAATATATTATATATTCTGTCTCTATAGCTCCACAGAATAACGTTTTCTAGATGCATTCATTTATCTAGTCAAAAAAATTAGTGCCTACTCTGTGCCAAGAACTATTCTAAGCTCTGTGAATACCACACCAAACAAAATAAAGTCATTGCCCTCACAGAGGTTATATTTTCATGGGTGGATGGCATATAAATTGTAAACAAATAATTATGTAGTGTGTGATAAAGTAATCAGTACTTTGGAAAAACAACGAAGCAGGGTCAGGATGTAGGGATTATCAGAGGCAGGACAGGGCATGGTTTATTTAGAGTGGTGAGAGAAAGCCTCACTGATAAGTGTTAACTTAGCAAAGACCCAAAGAAATGCAGCAGCAAGTCATGTAGATATGGGAATGGAAGAGGGGATTGTTTCAGACAGATGGGTTAAAGAATTCTGAAGTGAGAACATGCTTGTCAAGTAAGAGGAACGACTCTAATAGGGCTTGAAGTCAGGGAGACAGACCAGGAGCCAGTTCTTATAAGTTTATGGCAGCCGTATGCAGAACTTGTGGGTAAGAGCTTGTATATAATGACCAATAAACACAGGAAAGTATGCTTAACCAATTTATAAAGCAAGGAAAGAAAAGTTATATATGTTTATTTTGTTTGGGCCTGACAAAGTAATAAGACTGATTATGCATCATGTTGGTGAAATGTGAGAAAATAGGCCATATCATATTTTACTCATGGAAAGTACACATTTTGACAATTTTTTGAAAAACCGCTTCATCGGAATTTTAAATTTTAATATATTTGGCCTTGTCTTTTTAGATCTGAGAGTTTATTCCAATAATGTTGTCAGAGAAAAATTTAAAGACATATTTACTAGAAGATTTTTATTATAAAATTGTTTAAAATAACAAATTTAGAAATTACCTAAATTTAAAATACATTACAATAGATCTAGTAAATAGAACATCAAGCAGTCATTAATATGGAAACAATCTATGGCAGAGAGAGACATTTGAGACACTATATATATATATATATATATATATATATATATATATATTTCAGTTTCCTAATGGACACCCCAATTTTTTAGTTGGGCATGTGACAATATGCAGTAAACACTTCATTTCTCAGCTTCCCTTGCAGCTATGAGTTGTTTTGTGACTATGCTGCATTAATGACTTAAAGAAAGATGAAGTTCTGTGATATCAGTAGTTCAAATAGAAAGTTAATACTTTCTTTCTATTTACTCTATTCTATGTAAGAGCCCAAAATAGCATTCATCCCTCGGAGGGAGACAAACCAAAAAAAAAAAAACACACACACACACACACACACACACACACAAAAAAAATGTATATATACATTTTATTATAAAACAAAATCTATCTTAAATCAACAGGAAATATTACAGTTAGTTATGAAATTCTGTAGACCTTTTCATTAAAATAATAAAAGATGCCCGGTATCACTATTTTAATTGTTTTATTATATCTAGAAGTATATGATAACTATAGAACTTCATGAGTATGAAATAAAAGCTGTGAATATTGCCAAGGCGAGACAACTGTGATTTGCAGATGATAAAATTTTATATGTAGAATTTTTAAAAGAAAAACTTAGTGAAAAATTCTCTAGATTAGTGAGTGTTCAGTACAATTTCTGAATTAAGTTTATATATATTTAAGAACCAATAGTGCCTGCCATTTGTTTTTAACACTCATCTCAGTGATTAGTTGGAAACTTAGCAAAAGAAATTGTCATTCAAAATAGTAAGAAAATACAATTTGTCTAGGAATATCCACATCCAAAAATTTGAGGAAGATATATGAAGAAAAATATAAACATTTGCTTAAAGACAAAAAAAAAAAAAAGAATATGTGGCTTCATGATTACATAAAACATGGCTCTAGGTAACCAAATTTACATACTTACATCCCATTCAAACCCTATTCATGGTCAGAAAATGTATACCATCGTTCTAAAATTCACCTGGGAGCTTGTAGATAATAATTAAGGTGTGTGAATAAGAGAGGACTAGTGAAAATTATTCAACCACAGTGATTAAGACTATGATGTGGCATAGCCCTGGCAGTTAAATCAGTCCTGACAGTGAGGACTTCCACCACAAAGAGTTACCCATTATGTGACAGGTAGTGCGGCAGGAAGCCAGGACATACAAAGACCTTCACACCTGCTCTATATGAGTCAAGTGTTAGTGTACCCACTTTGTACCTGGAAACTGGTGTCAGAAAAATTAATTTATTTATTTTAAAATACCATAATTAGAATTTTATAGATGCCGGTTATAAAAGAAGAACTCATTTTACATTGGAGATGCTATTCAGAGAGAATAATTTGTTTACTTTCTAATTTCCAGACCACATTTCCAGACACCTGCCTACTTGTGCTCTAAGGGAATTGTAGATTACCTATTGTATGCTTACACCAAGGCTGTTGTTGTGTTTGGGGTTTTCTGAAGCTATTTTGAGTGGACTTTAAACCCATAGTCAAAAGATTCCCTAATATACACACCAAAATCTACTATCTTTATTTTATATCCTTCAAAAACCAATAGCCCTGAGCATAGTCTAAACTAATGGTGAAGACAGTTACAATTTGTAAAAAAAATGAAAATGATTCATGTAGTATATATTTCATATCCTTTGGGAAAAAAATCAATAATATCCTCAGTAATAAATCCCATAGTTTACAGCAACTAACTCACATACATTTTAGAGAAGGATAAAAAAATCTTCAAAACAATGATAAGAAATTATAGATAGAGTAGTATGTATTTAAGTTTGAAAAATAGAAACAAACAGAAAGAAACGTAAATGAATTACTAAAACTTTAAAGCTTTATATAATATCATACACAAAATTTATTATCAAACAACTAACTCAGAAATGCTTGCTAACATATGATCATGAACTAAAATGTAATTATACAGAATGTTTTTACACAAGTTAATAAGAAAAACACATAAAACATAATAAAATGAAAAGATAATCTGAATTAATAATTAACATAAAAAACTTGCTAGTGAAGATATTAAAAGTCCAATGAGCCCTGGCCGGTTTGGCTCAGCGGTTAGAGCGCCCGCCTGCGGTCCGGAGAGACCCGGGTTCGGTTCCCGCTAAGGGCATGTACCTTGGTTGCAGTTTGTCCCCGGCCCTGGTTGGTCGTGCGGGTGGCAGCCACTCGATGTGTCCCTTTCACATCGATGCTTCTCTCTCTCTCTCTTCCTCTCTCTCCCTCCCACTCTGTCTGTACAAAAAATGGAAAAATGTCCTCGGGTGAGGGGAAAAAAAAAAAAGTCCAATGATAACAACAAAAATATATGCCTATAAAACTGACTTTTTCATCTGTGATTTAGTAACTTTTTAAAAAAGAGACATCTAATTTCTTTGTCAGTCATCTTAGATTTCTAATATGCATAGAAGCAGGCATAACATTTTGAGAGTAAAAAGTATAAAAATATTTATGCTTTCATATAGAATTTCTACTCTTTGATATACAATTATAAGACAATGAATTTATACCTAGACAAAGTAAAAGAATAAAAATATTTATCATCATATAGTGTGTAGAAGATAAATATTGACAAGACATTAAACATAAATAAAAGTTTAAATATATATATACATATATATATATATATATATATATATACTATAATGCCTGATGCAATATCACAAAATCAAAAATAATATTTAGGGCATTTTTTATTGCTATTAGTGATGGTTGTCACAGAATTATAAAAGAAAATAGAAACAGAATTGTACAAAATTAAGGAACTTTATAAAAATAAGTTGATTTTATTATAAACAGAGTAACAAGAAGGTTAACAAGTATTTTTAAAGATTTTTTTTCCTTCTTTCTTTCATTTTTTTTGAAAGAAAAAAAATGGAGAGGAAAAGAGAAACATTATTGTGAGAATTACACATCTTTTGGCTGCCACTCAGCAAGGGTGTGTGCCCTGACCAGGAATTAAAAAGGGAATCTCTCCATGCCTGGACAAGGTTCAACCACCGAGCCACACTGGCCAGGGCAAGAAGTATTATTTCTTCATTAAAAATCTTTGTATGTTTCTTTATACTTAAAATTTGTATTTAAATGAGCATGCCACCTTTATGATAAATGAGAAAACAAGCGTATTTTAAAGGAATTTTATTGAGTATTAATTCAACAACAGTAAGACAGTGATTTTAGCCTGGTATTTGTAAAGGGTGGGCAGTTGAAGGTTTGGTATAAAAATATTCTCTATCAAAAAACTGATCTTTTAAAGTGGTAGATTCATAGAAACCATAATGCTTCCATTTGTCCTGGGAAAAACAGAAAGGAAACATTGCTATTAGTAACTAGAAGTAAGATATAAATAGAACTAATCTGTACTGTGAGATATATCTTTACAAAAGGGCTATGTATCTATCACACCCAAATAAGTAGCTCTGTACTAGGGCCTTACTGCCTCAGTGTAGATTCATAAGTAGTCAGTTGACACTCTGGTATAGCAGGCCTCATCACAGACAGAGTAGGGATGTGACTCAGCAAAATAGGCTTCTGGGGAAGGAAGCCAAGCACCAGCTGTGCATTCCATGTCCAATTATTTTGTTTTGTGCATGCATCGGAACTAAATATTTTCTACTCACTGAGTGGGTTTTTGAGAGATCTAAGGCCTGAAGAATTTTCTTTCTGGACTTAATCATTTCTTATGCATCATTACACTATTGTCAAATGCATATAAAACCAGGTTTTCCACAAGGGCCATTGCAAAAGGCAAATAAGGTGAGCCTTAGTGATAACTGGGAAGCAGCACTCTATCATTGTTCACTATTCTATCTAGACTTTATATATAGACTGAACAGGAAGCAGCCAAATCAGCTCCTTAGATACATTTACCTGAGATGATTCATATAAGTTTTAATTCCCAGGGAAGAGGTAGAAATACCGTGTCATGGACACTCTTTCAATCGTGGGCATCTGGGCCAGTACCTGTGGTGTCTCAAACGAACGTTGAACCTAAACTTGCAAAGAAAGCCTTTAGAGATTTTCTTAAAAGAAAATTTGAATGTTTCACTAAGAAGTGAGAAAATTTACAGTGTGTATTAAAGCTGTTGCCAGATGATATAAACAGAAGAAATGTGGGGTTTTTCCTTGGATATAGTATATACACGAGGGAACCAGCACCATCAAAAGCATTCCCAGAATGAGCAAGGCTATCAGAATCAGAGAAACTCATTCTGTGTAGTACTTTAGAAAACTTCTTGAAATAATCATGGAGTACAGGAAGGAGCATCAAGAGGACTTAAGGCTTTAGGATTCCTGAAAACATTTTGCAAATGGTTCTACAACCACAGGGGCATAGGTTCAAAGGAAAAGAAGATCCCTACCTTTCGAAAAATCTCTTCCAAATGATGACACCAAGAATATTCTTTGAAGTTGTAGATAATTTGGGAAATGAAGAGAGAGCCGTTTGTGCTCATTCTCCAAGAACTATTATCTGCAAATAAAAAGTATAAACATATTGGGGGATGCGGCCTTTGTTGAAGTGTGAAAACTACTAGGGCCATGGCTTTTGGACAAAGTTTGGTGTTGATGCTTTGGAGGAGAGAGGCAGGCCAGATCTGGATAAAGCTGGGACCACAGGTTTTCATAGCAGCCCAAACAAAACCATCATGGACCTTCCATCATAAATCCCCTTTACTTTCTTAGTAGCAGGGTCAAAGTTATGGCCCTTGGGATTGCAAGTAGTCAAAATGAACATAAATCCTGTCAGCACTTACTACATAAGAGAAAAAATAATCCAGCTCTTGGCATTCTTTGATTCTGGGTCTTCTCTTCTTCCATACTCTTCCTTAACATACATGTTTTATGCTTATAGTTTTGTTGTATAAATATGTTTTAAATTTCTTCTCTTTAACATTTAATGTGATCAAATCTCCTCTGTCATAAAAAAGCAAATATTCTGCTCGTCACTTTATCTTCAGCTACCTTCCTATTTCTTTTTCTTTTAGAAGTGCAATTTCTCAAATATCTCTACTTAACATCTTTATTTTCTCCTAGCCTGCTCACTCCTGTCTGGCTTCTTCCTCCTACCCTATATGTACCAAATGACTTTCTGAAAGTCACCCGTGTCCTCCAAATCATTAAATCCAATGGTAACCCATTGGGCCTCACCTTTACCTGATCTCTCATTCACATCAGAAACTATTGGTAACTCCAAAAGATTCTTTCTTGGTAACTCTCAAAACACATTCTCCTAGTTTTCTTTTTTATTCTCTGACCGTACCTTCTGAGTCTAATTTGATGACTAATACTTCTATCTCTGATCTTAAACTCTAGAGTTCTTCAAGCCTCAGATGTATGATCTGTTCTTTGTTTTTAGATAATTTCACCTATTTTTAGAATGTTAAATATCAACCTTAAGCAAGCATGTCCCAAAATTCTAACACAGATCACTCCTCTGGAAAATAGAGGTATGTAACTCTTCACTCTTCATTTTATCTTGAAATATGCCAAAGGCATCTCAAACTTTCTTTCAGGATTCCCATTTTAATACATGTACTATACTCATCTACTTGCAATGTTGAGTCATTGCTATCATCCTTCTTCTTTACCTGTTATAGTCACTAAACCACCAGGTCATATTAATTGTATCTACTAGTTATTAATTTTATCTACTAGTTATTTTTTTGAATCCAACAATTTACCTCATTCCAAGCTATCACTATCATTTGTTAATACTCAATAGCATTTTAACCTGCCCCCCATCTCTGCTCTTACCAGACTGCAATCCTTTTCCCCCAAACCCCCACAGTGATCATTTTAAAATAAAAATATCATTTTCTTGCTTAAATTTCACAAAATTTTCTATTACTGTTAGTATAAAGTAATATTAATAATAAAGCATATTAGTATAAAAGACAAAATGCTTTGCTGAAATATGAGGCTCCTGCCTACCTCTCCAACCTGCCTTTTGGTAACTCTTCCCTGGCTCCATGCCCCAGCTTCACTCGCCCCATTTCCCAAGCTCCTTTCTTTCTCAGATCCCTGTGTACTACTTTATCTGTCTGGTATGTTCCTCTCTTACTCTTGATGTGGTAACTCATTCATCCTTCAAATGTGAGAACATATTTTTCTTTAAAGCACTATCACAGTTGGTGATAATTATTTATTTCTATTATATGTATATTCCCCTTCCGAATTAATTTCTGCCTCTCTGGTCTGACCATACTCTTTGAAAAGTCCAGTAACCACGTCTGCTACAGTTGTACATTCTACGTCCTGCACCCAGCCCAACCTTAGCACATAATTATATGTATAAAAAATAAATGCGAGATTAGATTTTATTTTCTCAACTAAATTAAACAATCACTAAGAGTATGTGTCAAGCCATATATGACTTTTTAAATTACCTTTTAAAGCAAAAAGTATAGAGCTCTTCTTTTAAATATATATTCTCCAATATATATAAAGTAAGGTGAAGTAGAACTATTCCAGATGTGCAGTGGCCTTCATGGCTTTGTCCCTACTTCCCCAGGCTAGACTCAGAGGATCCTCTAGGCTAGGTCCTTGCTACTCATTCATGGTCATGGACCAGGAGCACTGACGTCACCATGGAAATTTTCTGAAAGGTAGAACTACTGAATCAGAAATCTACATTTTCATGAGATTCCCAAGTGATTTCTATGCACATTAAAGTCCTCAATTACTACACTAGAGCACTCAAAACTGTGATTTTGTAAACTGGGTTCTAAAAATTGCCCTTATTATCTAAATGGTTACTAAAACAATGTTGTATATGACTGTTATATCAGAAATATCTTTTACTTCTACCTTCTACTCTTCCACTCTGACTTTCCTACCAAAAAAAGCTTTTCAGTCATTGGCTGAATTATCCTGAAGGCAGGCACATGAATGTTAATGAATTTCCTAAGACTAGATTCAAATAATAGGTCAAGAGGTTCTTGGGTATGTGGAACAAGCATTCCAGTTTTCCTCATTGGCTCGTTTAATTGCTAGTGGATGATCAGGTGGACCAAACCATGAGAAGATGATGCATTTCTGTGCCATGAGTATATTTTTAAAAATCTCCTACTTTATTTATAGACTATTTTAAATCTGGATCCTCTCTCAACTCCTGTTTTGTCTGAAAGTTTCCTCCAAAATCAAGACATATAACTTTCTAGTTATGAAAATTTCAGTATAAGTCTCTCTTTTACCTAAATATCCCATTAGAGAGGACATGTTCGTATATTAGTGATAAGATGTGATCATAGCCTAGCCTGTAATCGAGGAACTGACAGACTGAGAAATTATTCTCTCCGGAGCCACTTACGTGGAGTTGAAGATTTGAAAGCAATGAAATCCTTCTCCACGTGGGTCTTTGTAACAGCATCACTCCAGATGTAACACTGAGAAGTGGGGTCATATCTACATGCAGGGGCTTTTTTCGTGTCAGTCACCCAAACGACCCCATCACCTCCTAAAAGAGACATCCATGTCATATGAAAGATATCATATTCAAACATGTACACAGACACACAAACACAATCATTTTTTTACCTTTATCCCTTTACTTCAATACCTCTTAATATAGCATTTATTAAAACTGAAAGTATCTTAGTGCTGGAAAAACGACCTCACTGATGTGAACCATACAGAGCCCACTTAAGTTAAAATAAACTTGTTGACCATCTAGTCTCAAATGATAGGGATATTCCTAAATAATCTAGGTGCTAATTATTTCTTTAGGAATAATACAGACTTAACACACTTTCTGGACTGGGACTATGAGTAGTACTACAATGTTATTTTATCTCCCTCCAGGCTAGGCTACATCAGGCTAATAGAATAAAGGTAAGGCCACTCCTTGGGTTCCTCCAACTCAGACTCACCGCCTCTGCAGGCCTGCATGATGATAACCTTGGGTTTGTCTCTTAGACTCTGGCAGTTACGGTTGTTGAAAATTTGGAAGATTGTATCATCACGCAGTATGTCTGGCTCTTGTTCTGTGTGCTTTGTCCCACAGATTCCCTCTAGGACACCATGTGACATGAACACCAAGACTGTACTGTCCGAGGATTTGTGCTCTTGGCGGGCAGCAAACTGCCATAGCACTGCTTCCATTTCCTGAGAGAGACCCCAGAATTACTATGAGGGAACTCAAATAGTAGATGGAGTTAACAGTTTGTACTCAAATAGTAGATGGAGTTAACAAAAAGGTACAGGCACCAAGGAATAGGGTGATTGGTACTTTGGAAGATGCCAGGAAATGAAGTATAATGAGGGGTAAGTGACATGACTAGTCTCCAGTAGAAAGGATTAGCTTCATCTGTTTTATATGTTGGAGTTCCTGTTAGTTTTCATTCAAAAAGAGAAAGAATCTTCTATTGACAAAAATTATGAACAACTTAACAAATTTCTTCATTATGGAACAGCAGAAAGTTAAGTTTAAAATAGTTTGTTTAAGGTCACCAAAGATATTTTAGGCAGAGCCAGAATCAAAACTTTCTGTGTGTGTATGTCTGTAAACTTTTTTTTTTTTTTTTTTTACTATATACCTGGTTTTACATTTAGATACATGGCGTTGAACTTATAAAAGTCTCCTAAGCTCATTCTGTAGGTATTAGGCAATTTTAGGGCCCAGATCTTTTGTCTCACTCATTCTATCAAGTAATAGATGTCTCTCAGATTGAGACCTTTAGAAAAATCCACCATTTGTAGTGAGATGCTACTACACAGAAGTGCTCTAAATCCTTGATATGAGACTGCATTGGAGGAGACAGAAATCCAGGTGACCCTATGCTGAAGCAAATATAATTCCTATGACACATTTTGTCCTTATAGCTGCTGAAGAAGAAGTTCAAAACTGTTTAGGATGTAGGAAGCTGGTCTCACTCTCCTGAGTCATTACCGAAGCTGTAAGATTCTCTTCTACAATCACTGAGTATCCAAGGTTTCCAAGCAGGTCTTGCATCCCCAAAAGGTCAACTTCAGAACCATATCGGTTACAAAGATAATCAAATTCTTTGTTGTGGATGATGAGGGCCAGGCGCGTTCTGTTCTCTTTCTCCATCACTGGATATATCTGTAGTTAACAGACACAGAGTGAGTTGCCACAGGCCTCTCTTTTTTGCCTCCAAAGTCCATACAAAACAGGCCTTTACAATTATAGAATGAATGGCTGGAGGAATTGGGAATGGAAGTATGTCCTCAGGAGGAAAGAACCAGGACCACAGGCTGAAACATGTAGTAGGAACTTGGCACATGTTAGGTGGTGGGTAGGAGTTCACAGTGCGTTCCAGGATGGGATGGAAGAGACAGAAAATCTAATGTAAGGAACACTTAATCAGATAACATGATTAGATAACATCCTATGGCTTTTGGCTTGATCTTAAGGCATTTATAATAAGAACTAAAATTCTCAGCATGTCCCCAGGATCTTGTTTGAGTGGGCAAATCATGTGTCTCCCTATTCCAAAGCAAAATACCTCATCTGCCCTTCTTGTCTTTAGTCTGTGGAAATGATCAGGAGGACAAAGCTTCAACTTATGAATGGGTTGGGAAGCCTGGGTTTCCTGAGAAGCTAAAAGAGAATACATACATACATACATACGTACATACATACATACATAAACAAAAATCTCGTTAAGCAATAAATAATATCTACTGCTTTGCAATCATGCAGCTCCTTAGAATGGGCTCCCATTCTTTGGAAACGCCTACTGCCATCCCACCAAAAAGCTTAATATAATAAAAAATATTTTATATTTAAAATGACTTAAACAAAAACTTGAATATTCCCCTTATTTTCTTTCTGACTCTTACTGACCCCACCAGATATTTCTGTTTTTGTTAGTAGTCACAGCATTGACTAATTTTTCAAACCCAACACATTACACTCACATAAACATAGTATCTAAGATTTGGATGGAAGCCTAATGTTTATTTAGCCCAGTCAAGTCATTATTCAGATATTTAAATGCCACTTACAATAACCCTACTTTATTATTATCACTCTGAACTATCTCTACTAACAGAGAACTTAAAACTTTCTAAAGCATTTGAACATTTCTGAATATGATAAAGTGTGAACCTTTTACATATAGGTATGTATTTCCCACACTGGGAACAACAACAACAAAAGTGTAATTCCTTTCCCTGTGAAAGCGCATAGATTCCTCCATGCCTTCAATATATCTCCCCATACTTTTATATAAATGCCCCAAATAAACAATTATTGTATTTTGTCTTAATTTTGTGTTTATTGTACTGTAAGCTTAATTAGGACAGGGAAGGTGTCTTTAATCTTTGTATTTCCAGTACCTAGCAAGATAATCTGGCACACATTAATGATATCTGGCACGGTTTCTAACAGCTCCTTAATGAATAATTATCTTCAACTTGAAAATAGCTGCCAAGTATCTCCTGGTTGTTAGATTTTCCTTAGGACAACAAGCCTGTATTCCTTTTGATATTTTTTTTACATGAAAATGATTTCGTCTTTTAAGCTACAAATCTATCAGTTTATCTCCATCTCTACCCACCTACTCTATTTTTCTTCCTATTACAAAGAAAGACAAGTATTGCCTCCTCTGAGGGAGATACTTCTACTTGGGCTCTGAGTTCCAGTCCTTCTCACCCACAAAGACTTGACTCAGATATTTAGTGAGCTGTGCCTTCTGCATCTGCCATTTCTCTCATTCTTCCAGTTGTGCTTTTCCCATTGACATATTAGCATGACTTCGTGTCAAGTTATCCTTCCCTTGACCCAATTTTTCCTCCAACTACTGTAGTCCCATTTCTCTGCTCCACTGTTCAGCACAGTTTCTTAAAGTCTCACTATTTTTATTATTTCAACTCATTTATTTCCCTCCTGGATGCCAAATAAACTGGTTACTATTTTCACCACTTATATAAAGTACTTGTTACCAAGGTTACCAATGACTGCGTCTTCCTTTCTTAGCATTTAACATAGTTGCACACATCTTGTTTTTAAAAAATGTTTTCTAGGCTTCTGTGATGCTGTATTGTCCAGCATTCTTTCAAAATCTGTTCTCACTGATAATTCTTTCTCTTCCACCATATGTCCAAGAGTTCCAAGAGTTGGGTTGCTCTGTGTTGGAACCTCTGTTATTCTCTATCGACATTTCTCCCCAGGTGGCCTCTTTCATTCCCATCATCTACAATTCTATTTACATGCTGATGAATTCCAGAATGTATTCCCCTTCCTGATTCCTCTGTGAAATCTTCCTGTTTGTTCAACATCTACACTTGGATGTAGCACATGTTTCAAATTAAACACATGCAAAGGATTCCTGATATTTGTCTACTTCACAAATCTGTTTCTCCTGACTTTACTCGGAATCACAAGTTTTCTCTCTCAGTAATTGGTACCTAGTTGCCAAGCCAATAAACCTAGAATCAACCATGATTCCTTCATTTCTTTTACTAACCCATGCCCAATTCATCTATAGTTTTTGTTGATTCTACCTCCAAAATAGATCCCGAATTTAACTCCTTGCTGTCATCTATATTACTGCAACTCTAATCTAAAAGCTATTATTTCTTAACTTAAACATACAAACAGCTTTCAACTAGCTTTTCTGACTCTATGCTTGTTTATTCCTCCTCTGCTTAAAAACTCCTTGAAGGTTTTGTATTGCAAATAAAACCCAAATCTTTTTCCACTCTCTAAAAAGGTCCAAATGGCATGGCAATGACATGCTGACACTTTAGCAGCTCCTCCTACTACGTTCCCACTAATTTCCAATTCTCCAGCCAGACTGGCCTGTTCTATAACAAAACCATTCCAGACTCAGCCCTTGCTCTTGTCTTCCCTTTCCATGGGATGCTTTTGCTTCAGAATTTGGCACAACTATTGTTCAGGTATGTACTGAAATAGCACCTCAGACGTGTTCTTGTAACTATCCACCCTGGCTCATGTATGTCTCATCCACCCCAACAAAAACATCTTTCTATGGCCTTAATCCTCTTTTTTCTTGTATATTTCCTGAAATTATATTATTTAGTTTTCACATGTTTATTATATATCTGACCTCACTACATTGTAAACTCCATGAAAGCAAGATCTTTATATTGCTTATTGCTATAAACCTAGTAATTAGAATAGTATACTGTAGGTTTTCAATGAATATATGCATATATTTTATATGTGAATGGTTATAACAATGAATAAAGGTTACAAAGTTTTATTCCTTCATTCGCCCGGATCTTCTGAAGATATGGTGCTCACTGCTCCCTTTCTAGACACTGTATTTCTTTAATGTGGTCCAATAATTCATTGGTTTCTTTGGTGAGCATATAGTATATGTGATTCATACTGTTTTTTTTTTAATGCACTTTTATTAACCACATCCTTATTCTGTTTTGTGTAGTTGGTAGGTGTTTATATCGTAGACATTTTGTGAATTCCTTTAAGGATGTTATTAATCTCATTTAAAAATATGAACCTCAGAAAAGCCGATCTATATCTGGTTAGTCAGTGGCAGATGGGCTTAATGTATACATTTCTTGGGTTTTACTTCACCTCTCCTTCCACTACACCACAAGACCTTTCTAATTTGCCTTAGCTCAAATAGTGTCATTATGTGTCAATGCTATTACCTGTCGGAGGTAGAACCAATGCCTGGAACAATCCAGCATGCTCCTCGGTTTCATTATCTTCATTTTTACTTCCAGATTCTTAAATTAAAGAGCAGGTACACATGTGCAATCCTACTTTGAGGAACTTTGTTAGGGGCAGAAGGGAGAATTACCTGGTTTCCTGAACCTAAATTCAGTGGTCTTTTCACTCTAACTTAGGGCCCCTGTACAGCTGCCTATCCCAAGTGATGTATAAAGCTCCCACGAGCCGCTGGGTTTTGCTGCAGTTACCTGATGGAGGGAGTGCCAATGCCTGGCCTGATCCAGATTTTTTCTTATCTCCATTTTCTTCACTTTCCTTTTCAGATTCTGAGGTGGAATGAAGAAAAAGTTAAGTATCAGGGCTCTACTCTGAAGGTTATTTCCAAAAATGCAAATTGACCGAGAACACAGGTTTCCTAACACTGTACCAGAATACATTCTGACCACGTGAGGAGTTTTCGCCTGTGATGTGAGATTTGGAGGCAGTTACCTGTTAAGGAAGAAGAGTCACTATTCCCAGATTCATCATTCTCATTTTCAGAATGAGATTCTGAAATTAAAAAAATATATTTATTTATTTATTTACCTATTTATTTGTTAGCAGGAGTATGTTTCTACGACCTGCACACTTCAAACTCTCTCCCTTGCAGTGACAAGGAAATGGCTAAGTTTAGGATGGGTCTGCCGTTTGAAGTGTGGGAATTTGGCTCATTCTCTCAACTCCAGGTTTGTTTTAGAGAACTGCATCTGAAGAAGGAGGCCGAGTTTCCATGAAATGAGGAAGAGCTCATTATCTTCCTGTTTTTATAATACAAGGAATAATTAAATTCTTTAATCGAGGCTTTTCTGCAATGGCATTTTTCATTCTGAGGAAGAAGAAAATACATCTCTGCAAAAATTTGTCTTTCAACAGCAACAAAATAATCCCTGAGGGATGTTGCAAGGATTTTGAATGTGCCCATGTATATGTTTACATTAGAGTAGGGGTCAGCAAACTATGGTCTGTGCATCCAACTCAGGCTAACACCTATTTGTATAACTAAAATTTTATTGGAACACACCTACATTCACTATGTACTGATTATATAATGCTGATTTCATGCTACAACAGCAGATTTGAGTCATTGTGACAGAGACCATATGGTCCAAAAAGCTTAAAATACTATCTGTCCCTTGAAAGAAGTGTGGCCAACCCATGTTCTAGAGAGAAAAACACATTTATGTCTTACCCTCCAATTGCCCATGTCCTCCTTTAACAAGGAGAAATATAGGTTCCTAGAGATGTATCTGTTGGGATAAGTCATTGCTATGTAGAAGATGGTGGTTGTGTTTGTTTTTTTTTTCTATTGAATTATTCTATATCTGGGAATGACTCTAAAGTCCGCAGTGTATGGCCAGAATAGCACAGATTAGCTAAAAATGCTCTTTAAATTTAATACAACTCACCCTGGCCAGTTTGACTCAGCAGTTGGAACATCGGCCCGCAGACCACAGAGTCCTGGGTTCGGTTCCGCTAAGGGCACGTACCTCGGTTGCAGTTTGTCCCTGGCCCGGTAAGGGGTCGTGTGGGTGGCAGCCACTGGATGTGTCTCTCTCACATTGATGTTTTTCTCTCTCTTTTCCTCCCTTTTTCCCTCCTGCTTTATCTGAAGATAACTGCAAAAATGTCCTCGTGTGAGGATAAAAAAAAAATTTAATATGACTCCAAAACTGCTTATTCATTTAACAAATATTTATTCAGCACCAATCAGGTGCCATTTGTATGCAGTTGGGATATATGCCTGAACAAAGCCTACAGAGATACATGCTCCATGGAGCTTACATTTTAGCAGGGAGAGATATAATATCACAAATAAGTAAATGTTATGGAATGATTGAAGGTGACAGTTGCTAAAGAAAAAATAAAATGTGCATCATTGTAAAGTGATTGGGGATGTTGAAACAGGCATGGGAGTAAACCCACGCATTTTGAAGTATTAGATATAAAAGTCAGGCAAAGAATTTACTACAGATGTGGTTAGTTCATTGTCCACATGCAAACAGAAATAAGAAGACAAAAATGGCATAAAGACAGTGAACAAAGATCTAGTACTAGCCCTTTGGCCCTAAATACTCACTTAAGCTCAGTAATTTCGTCTTGTTGAAGAGATTGTCCATTAATATTTCGCCTGTCATTTGAGTTTTCTCAGTGAAATCATCAAGTAGGCTTTCAGTCCTTTTCACGATGATGCCTACTCCTTCTCCTATTTTTTGTAACTCATCCCTGTTTAACACATTCTTTTCCGTCAAATCATCAATAATGCCATCGATCACGTTTTTGGCAAATGACTTCACCATGTTGATGGGATCTTCCTTCTGTCTCTTCTCTGTGAAAATAATAGGATTTTCAATGTAGAGAGAACCTTCCATAGGTCCTAGGCCAGTGGTTTTCAGATTTTAATGGGCCAGAGAATCTCCTGAAAAGCTTGACAAACAAGAACTATCTGCAGCCCATTCACAAAAATTCTAATTTGATGGACCCTGGCCCTGGGGGCCTCAGCAGATTAGAGCGTCCTCCCGATACACCAAGCTTGCAGTCTCCATCCCCATTCAGGGCACATACCAGAATCAACCAATGAGTGAATAAATAAGTGGAACAACAAATCAATGTGTCTCTCCCCCTCTCTCTCGCCCTCTCAAAAACAAAACAAACAAACAAACAAAAACTGATTTGATAGATCAGAGTGGATCTATCAAATTTTCATTTCATTTCTGTCAATTTTCATTTCTAACAATTCTTGAGGTGATGCGGAAGACCACACTTAAAATAACACCTGTCTTGTTCAAGCCTGTTTATAGATGAGGAAACTGAGGTTCAGAGACTTGAAGCAACTTCACTGAGCAGGTTAATAATGATATCTGACTCAGTTCAGTTTTCGTATCACCCATCATCTCTTCACTTCCTGACATATATATCAATGCTTAATTAAAAACCATGCTACATTCAAATCATATAGCAGCAAAGCATAAACATTACACCTATAAAAGAATGCATTTGGCTTTCATGAGCGAGGCTGAGGGCCACTCTGCCTGCAGAGTGGGTTCGTTTGCCCCAGAAGGGAAGGTCACGAGAGAGCCAAGTGCGGAGGAAAGGCACTGCCTCTGGTCCCCAGCAGGGCCTCCACCAAAACCAGGGAACACGTCAAATGGGTGGGAATTCTAGGTCAGTGTGAGTCCAAAGAAAAGCCTAAAATCACAGGAAAGGTTTAAGACTATAGGTCCAGAGTTTTAACATTTTTCCCTTTTTTCCCCAAGAAGCTGTAACTATTAACTAAAATACTTTGTGTGTTTGCATAGTCATTACTAAACCCCAAGCTCCCATCACCCACGTCCCAGAATAACACAAGTTTATCTGGTGAGTGCTCCTCCCCCACCTCCTCCTGAGAAGTAAGCCCCCAAAACATAGCTGTAGACAATGGACAGACTGGAGCCACTCACCAGCCATTGCTGCTGGGCTCCCTGGGCAGAAAGAGTAACGAAAATGAAAGCAAATTCCTTCCCTGTTTCAGTGACTCTTGTGCTTGATTGCCTAAACAGGAAAGTGCGGCTTCTCAGATCCTCCTTTTCTTTGCCAGGATGAAATTGGACTCCTCTGATTTGTAGCTTCTTCCTTCGGAATGCAGAAAAAACCTGTCTTTTTAGTTTGCTATAACAAAGTCAGCATAATGAAATACACACAGGCGCACGCAGTTTCTGCTCTGTTTTCCAGTCTATTTTTAACACAGTTAATAAATCAAATTGACCCGTACTTGTCTCTGTGCCACCCCTTAGCCACTGAATGGGAGGGAGAACCACTTGACCGAGCCTGTTCAACCCTGGAGTCAATGTGAACAGCTTGCTGGGAGCAAGAAACGGACTCACTTCCTAACTTGACAGGAAGATCACTATTTTAAAAACCCAAGTAATCTCTTTTTTTTTCTTTCTTTCTTTCATTCTCCTCATCAGAGGATATTTTTTCATTCTTTTTTTTTTTTTTACATCGAAGAGGGAGAAGGATAGAGAGGGGCGAGGAGAGGAGAGAAACATCAATGTGAGAGAGACACATGGATTGGTTGCCTCCTACTTGACCCCCAACCAGGGCCGGGGATCAAATCTGCAACCTAGATACGTGCCCTTTTGACCGGAATTGAACACACAACCCTTTGGTCCAGAGGCAGACCCTTCAACCACTGCGCCAAATCGACCAGATCTTCTCTTTTCTTTTTTTAAGAAAAGATAACAAAAAACAACTTTATTCTGTACATTGAAAAAGATAAGTACCCTTTTAGTGAAATGTGCACAAGTATTTTTCAGTTTAAATAATAGTAATAAATAAAGAGAACCTTAAAACTATTATAATATTCAAATTCAGTGGTATCTGCTGAGCAAGAACAATGAAGACTTCAGACATTTGTAAGAAAACCCCATTACTCAGTTTGAAAATAAATGGTAGATGTGTGATTTAAGAAATTCAGTGTTGATTTATTAAACAATTACATATAAACATACCTAGATTAGTGCCTAATTTATAATATTTGATGAAACAAAATAGTTCATTTCCCCTGACTCAATGGAACTTAGGCCAACGTTTTCTCTTTTTCCTGATCTCCTTAGTTGTCATTACCAGGTATTGTTTATCTGCATATTCATGTGTCTATTTTTTGTTATTGTTGAATGCACAAAACTTTTCTACATAATTAAAAAAATAATAGATTGCCATTAAAATTTAACAACAGAAAATTTTAGGCAATGGAGTAAGGTCATTTAGCTTCTTTAATTTCATACTGCGAAGTTGCCACAATTATACATTTAATTTGCATATTTTTGAATTCTTTCCAAAAACACTTAATGCAATACTGATTTTAGATGACCCCAATGATCAATATGCTTGGATCTGTGCTTCTTTGCTCTGACTTTGGACTGGCATTATGACTTGGTTTTGGCCAACATAATACAGTAGAGGGACATTGTGCAATCTGAACCTAGGCCTTTGGAAGCATCATGAAACTCTTCCTCATGGACACCTGAGCCTCCATGGGAATAAGCGTGGGCTACACAGCTAAAAGATAAGAGACATCAAATGGAGGAGAGACCAGTTGTCTCAGCCAAGGTTATTTTAGACCTGCTTCAGGCCAGATGGTTTTCAACTATATGAGAGATCCCAGCAATGTCAGTAGAGATATCTATCCTCCATGCAGGTGATCTCAGACACATGGATAAACCCAGAAACAAGAACCATCTAGTTGACCGGTTGACTTGTGAACAATAGTAAATGTTCACTGCTTTAAGCTACTAAGTTTTCAAGTAGTTTTTTTTTTTGTTTTGTTTTGTTTTTTGGTACGTGCCCCTAGCAGAAACCGAACCCGGGACTCTCTGGTTCACAGGCCAATGCTCCAGCTGCTGAGCCAAACTTTCCAGGGCTCAAGTAGTTTTTACTTAGCAATAGATAACTGACAAATATACATTTACCTATAAGTTTTTTCCCATATTATTAATTTTTTTTTAAGTTGACAATAGATGACAAATATTTATAAAAGTCAATAAAGAACTATCTCAATTTTTTATGATTGTATAGTACTAAAAGTGTTGCTAGACTATAATTTTTAAATGTTTGGTCAAATTAATAGCTATGTAAGGTAGTTAATCCAGTAGTATTGAAAAGCACATTTCTCTAATACAACTCTTTTCATTTTCAATCTCATATCCTACATATCATTTTTCTAAAATATTTTGTTATTGTTTTTTAGTGGTAATCTTCAGAACTCTTAATAACATGCTTATTTTATCCCTCTATTTCCTGATATTAAGTTCAAACAATGTCTTTTACTTCATATAAAAACTGAGATCTACTTTACTTACACTGCCTCACCTCTACCAGTCCTACCTAATATTTGATGATATGATTTTGAATTACTTTCTTGATTAAATTTTCAATATTAAATAACATTTAACCCTCATTTCTTCTTTCATCAGTGTTGCTCATTAACAATTCTCCTCTATGTAAGTTGTTGATTGTTGCCTGCATACAATTTTCTTGGTTGTTTTTTTTAATTTTTTTTCCTTTATTGATTTTTACAAAGAGAGGAAAGGAGAGGGAGAGAGAAATAGAAACATCGATGAGAAAGAACATCAATTGGCTGCCTCCTGCATGCCCCCCACTGGGGATTTGGGCCAGAACCTGGGCATGTGCCTTGACCGGGAATTGAACTGGCGACCTCTTGATGCATGCATCAACACTCAAACACTGAGCCACACTGGGTGGGCACCAGCATACAATTTTCTCTG